CATCACTGGATTAGAAGACACTCGCTCATCTTTCCTGATGAAGGCGTTCACTTCCTTTAGCTGATGCTCCAAAACCTGAGAGAAAGATCAAAGAATGGAAAGTAATAATTCGCTAATGTAAGGGTTATGAGAAATACCCTACTGCTGAGGTCATTAATGCAACAACTAATCAACAGCTCTTAAACATTCAGGTTTTACTTTCTTGTTAGGTCCAGTGTTATAAAACAACTACTCAAGAATGAAAAATGTTTTGGAAAATCAAGCATGTTTTACACACTAAAACTAAAATGCAAAAAACTATAAGTTGCATAATGCATTCTGGGTTCTGTGATGTACTAAAAGATGACATGTTCACCTTCAGCTGATGTGTGATGACATCAGTATTCATGGCATTTTCCCATCCATTTCTTGCATCTTTAGTGGAAAGGGTTGGATCGTAAGGAACAGGCCCTGTTTAGAATATCAAAATGTTATATTTCTTGAATTTCTGAGGCAGGAGATTAATATGGCAAGTGACAAATGTAAGATGAGGTGTGGGACTCTTACACTGGCTGGTCTGATGGGGATCCAGTAGACTGTGGATGGTCAAATGGATTGAACAGACTGTATCATCCAGCCCTTTGCCTAGAGCTCTGCTTAGTTGCTCCATGTCCTTCAAAAGATGGGTCATCAGGAATGGGCCAGGATCCAGCACAGCAGGCTTGATGATCTGCCTGACACTCTTAAGAGAAACAAACAAGAATATGGGATGAATATAGTTAAAGGTGCTCTCAGTAAGTTTTTGTTTAAGTTTGGCTGGCTTTACACCAGAGCTGGGTTTGGTTCTTAATACATTTCCTCAGTTCTTCAAACAAATGTGTGTATTTGATCTGGATGTATGTAATGTATGCATCACATGTATCAATACTCAAAACCAGAATTGGGATATGACCATATATATAGAAAAGGAAAACAAAGAATGTAATACCTGTGGGTTGTTCAGAGCTCCCAGCAGCATGGACATGTGTGTGAGCAGTCTGAGAAGAGCGAAGGGGGCAGGTGACATATTCTTAGTGTCCTGCATGTCAGGTTGGTCACG